ATCATAATTTTCATGTTTCATCTGCAGGTAAAAGTAGTAATACGCAGTTGCATTTTAATTGTTCTTAGGCAATCTGTATTCCTACAGATTTTAAAATTAGCCTTAGAATTTGTATGCTTTTTGTAAAAAGAGTTATTTTACTAGCTTTTTCTAAGACACCTTACATTTTATTTAATTATTAATGATTTATTTAATATTGGTCCTCCTAAAGTACTTTCGAAAACCTTCTTCCATTAGTTCTGAAAAGGTCTCATAATCAATATTAAGTAGAAAATTAAATTTACTTAATTTTCTGTAAGAGTACAGCCATTAGTTCAAATAAGAGTTGTTTGCTTTATAGTTAGAATTCATATTTAAGAACTCAGTTATATGTGTCGGCTTAATATTTGAATATATTTAATTTTCTTCTTTGGTGCTATTTTGTACTGTTTCTGGGTAACATTAACAAAGTCTTCCCATTTCATCCTATAATTGAATATTGTTTGAATATGAACTAATGTGCAATTAATGCCTCTTGGTGTTTATATATAGTGGTTGTTACTTATTTAGAGGTCATTTCTTGTTGTAGCAAATTTTTCACATAAACTTTACAATGTTTTATGATCTTTGGCTTTAACAGATTATTTGGTTAAAGCATAGAGTTTAAATTCTCTGAAGCATGAGAACATATACAAAACTAATGTGAACTGGGAACATTAATAATGACCTATATTATTTTATTATGTCTGTTTCTACTTGATTTACAGTAGCCCAGTTTCTTGGAATCCCATAATGTCTATTGTCTCAGGATAAAAAAGGAAGTATAGAATTCTGTGTGAAGATAAATGTTATTGTGATTTAATCACCATTATTGTATCCACTTAGCTTTTCTCTTATTCAAGGATTTTTACTGTTTTATTCTGAGTTTGATTTTGAAAGTGCTATTTGTGTGCACATGCTAGGAATTGGCTGTAATACTTACAACATTCTAATTCATAGCAAATGGCATCAGGTGATGTCTCTTAAGAATTATTAGAGCATTTGAGAGATAGTTATTAAATGTATGTTTATGAAGAAAAGATGGATAAACCATGGAATCCATTGTTCTTATGAATTGAAATGTATACTTTCCTTGAAATTCCAATCAATTTTAAAATCTGAATTAGTCATGATTTTTAGCAAATACTGATGTTAAGACTATATAAAGGTTTTCAAAAATGATAATGTATATGGATATATGTTTATTAGTCACTATTTTTTAGCAAATACCTTTGATGGTAAGAATATATAAAGGGCTTTTATAAATGATAATGTATATAGATCTGTTTATATATAAGATATATACCTATCAACTACCTGAGACTCTAAGGTTACCAGAAAAAAATAAAAATTTTTTTGAATTAGTGGTAAATTGGTTCATCCGAGTTCGCAGTTTACTTTCACAACATAGGTGTACAGACAGTTTGTTTAGATGTTTAATTTTTTCCCCCATCTGTTCTGTTGGGATTATTGATAGAGCAGTAAGCCACTCCAGGGCATATATGGGCTCCTTATAATTGCTTGCCTTGAGTGCATTGTGTGGCTTGGCAAGTAAGCGAAAGAAATATCCCTTCAACTCCCAGTAAATCATAATTGGTAGAATAATATTAGAATGAGCATATTTTTTGAAAATGTCTGTTAGCCAAATAAGTATTTACATTGTGAACTTTAATTGATGCTCTCATTTTAAAATACATAGTTATTTAAAAATCTATCTTTGAAATTATTGATTATTCAAGAACTTACTCATGGAGTATTTTTCCCCTTTACCTGGTTGTTTTATAAATAGAAGTGTCCTCATCAAATATTACCAGAATATTTAAGATTAACTGATACTTTTTGTGACCTGTTTGATTTTTAGGTTTATTATGTCTGAAAGTAAAGAGTTTCTGGCTCCTGCTAGGAGAAAAAAAAAGATGAAAACTAAGCCTTATTTCCTATAGTGTATGCTCTGTTTGAATTTTGGTTTGAAATGACTTCTTATCACCCTTTAACATTTATGTTTAAATTTTCATCCTTTATCTGGACATTTGTGTTAAATGTAGGTATAAAGTAGAGCTGTATCTAACTACAAAGGACAGTAGGGATAGAAGGATACATCAAATGTCCACATTCATACTTAAACTTTGAGTTCCATTTAAAAGTTAGTAATAAGGGCTGGGGATGTAACTCAGTGTTAAGAGTGCTTGCCTATCCTATGCAAGGCTCCATCCCCAGCAAAACACACACACACACACACACACACACACACACACACACCAGTAATATTGATTTTATGGAAAAAAGAAATATTTTAGATTAATTAGTCAAGTTTTTACTGGATTATTTCTCTAGAACTAGGTTTTGAATCGGTATCTATTTCCAAATTATATGATAAACTATGTTTACTGGAAATCAAATTTTATTGTAATTTTAGAAAGAGAAGTGTTTTGAGTTAAGGGAGAAAAAAAATCATCCAAAAATAATATAAAAGAGGCTATTTGAATTTAGAATAATTAATTTGACTTTGAGGTTTCCAGAGTATTTTATACTATATTATGTTTTTAACCATTTAGATTGAAGGAGAGAAAAAGGATATAATATAAATAATGAAAACATGTTTTATATTATATATTCACATGCAGAATATTATAATCACTCATTTCTTGTGTTTATCTTAGCTGTTTGGCAATAGGAGTTGAACAAAAATCTTCTATTTAATTGATAGCAAAGTTTTTCAAGTAGAGTGGATGATTGCGTTGTCAGGGTTTTTTCTCCTCAGCATTGCTTAAAGTTTGTATGTCAATAAGACAATGTATTACATCAATATTGTTCAGTACAAAGTGATAACGGCAAACAGTTCTAATTACAGAATCATATCTGCATATCAGTTAAAGCATCAGTTAAAGTTCAAAAGTAAAACTACTACTTTTGAGAATTGGTTTTCATTTTACAAAGCTGAATAAAATTGATTTTATCAAACAGATATTTTTACAATGCAGTTTTAAATTTTCAGTTGCTTATTTCTCTTCAAAAATAAAAACCCTCTTTTTTTATGCACTCACTTTCCTTCTGGCTGCAAACCAGGTATTTAAACACAAATAAAGGATTGCCAGTTTTGCCAGCTGGGGATGAGAACCCGGCTGGTGAAATGTGGGTTCGGGAGGCAGTTAATCCAGCTTTTATGCTTTTTATGGTTTTATGAAAAAAGAGGTTAAAAACCACATTTGGCTCCTTTTCTTGTATGCCACTGTTCTGTTGGTGTTGTCAGAATGCAGTTAAAGATTACTTAATTTTTTGTTTTCATTTTAAAATCCTGTATCAATTAGATAAAGGCCCACAAACAGTACAGTCTACTAGTTGCCCATGAGATAGATCCTTGAATCATCAAAAGTCACTGGTATATTTAAGTAATATATATAGCTTTTCCTTTAAGAACATAGATAGAATTCCTTAGGTTATTTCTTATTTTCAGTTTGTTCTCAAATTACTCATTTTAAACAAGTAGAAATATTTTTTGACTAATTATGAAAACTATAATTTGTTCTTTCAGAAAATATTTTCCTTAGTTTGTGATTTACAAAAGATTTCTGGAAAAAAAAAAAAGTGGGATTGTGTTTAAAACTTACAAAGCAATTCCAATTAGGCTTCCTAAGCCATGAAACAACATTGATAACAATGAATTATAAATCTTTTCATGGTATTCCAAAAATGTTTACACAATTTTTTCTTAAAATTTTATCCTTCATCTTTAAGTACTCTACCAAGGTGCCTTTCATAGTTTTTATAGGTGACTATAACTGTCAAAAATATCCTCAGTGCTATAAAATTACTGCTAAATTTTAAACAAAAGTAAGTCATTTTCAGTAATGTATTAAATCAAGTCAAGAGAATTTGAAATACAAGTACAACTTTGTTTTTATATTTTTTTCTCTTATCAGTTGTTAAGGTGGTTTTTTTTTAATTAATGAAATTCATGTCTGTTGCTTTCTTAATCTGTTTTTTCCAAAGTTTGAGAGGATCAAATTAAAATAAGCTTGAAGATTATTCAAATATAGTTATTTACAATAAAATATTGGAAGTTGTATATGGATGAGGAATATTCTGTTGAATGAAAAGCAAATCTGATAAAAAAAAAAAAAGGTGAAAACAAATTTTACCTGAAGCAGATGGTAGGTTTTTGTGTCTGATTTGAATAGGTCATTCAAACAAAATCAAAGGGATATTTTCATATTATTTCTTAGGATATTTTCATATTATTTCTTACATCTAATGCATTTGGGGAATCCAGTGAAAGGATATATATACCACCCAGGTATTAAGTTCATAATTTTTGCTTTTACATTCAATTAATTAATTAAATATTTTCTGAGACACAGAGGGAACCCCAAGAATCTTCACATTTATTTTAATGGTTGCCATGGTCTGTGTTCCCCATGTTTTATTGTGCTTGTTTACTTGTAATTTTCACTGCTTGATTTCTATTACTAAATTCTTTTCTTTTTAACTTAGTTCTTAAAGCAAGAATGGAACATTTTGTTGTCTAGAATCAGCATAGCCTAACTTCAAGTTGTTACTTAAAGTCCATGTTAGTGAATTCAGAATGAAAAATTAAGTAGACCTAAAAGAAAATACGCAAAAATGCTAGCTTGTGTTTTCATTTGATCCTTAAAATATATTTACTTACTGATATTTTTTATGACCTGTCCCCTTTTTAAAATACTGACCATTTTATGTATGTGTGTGCATGTGTATGTATGTGTGTGTGTGTATATATATATACACACACACACACACATATACATATATGAAATATTTCACATACTTGGTATAATTTATACTTTTGATTTATGCTTCATCATTTTGAGGTCAAGAACTCAGAATACACCTACCTAGGCTTGGAAAGTTGAAATGCATTTTTATGTAAGACTCTTATGTTTTAATGAATAATACTTTGAAAGTTAATGTGTAGTAATTAATCATTTCACTGATTTCACTTTTAGGTATTAGAAGATAATGACTACGGCCGAGCAGTAGATTGGTGGGGCCTAGGGGTTGTCATGTATGAAATGATGTGTGGGAGGTTACCTTTCTACAACCAGGATCATGAGAAACTCTTTGAACTAATACTAATGGAAGACATTAAGTTTCCTCGAACTCTCTCTTCAGATGCAAAATCATTGCTTTCAGGGCTCTTGATAAAGGATCCAAATAAACGGTAAGCCTCAAATAATGCTCTGTGAGTTACTGATGAATATGGTTAGAGATTATGATATGGAAATTAATTCAAATAAAACTGACTCCAAGAAGCAATGTATTTGCTATAGACATTTTCCCACTGAGATACTGACTTATTTTTAACTGCATAATATAGAAAACTCAAAAATTTTCATCAGTTCTTTTCTGACTTGGAATTTTATGCAGGTTTCTCAAATACAGATTTTGAGATTTTCATTATCCATATTATGAGTGAACAATCTTTTAATTTCCCTGTTACTTGATCTTGTGGGAATAGGATGATCCCTTTTCTTCCAGGCCTTTATATTTCTGATTATTTACATTATAGGAAAAAAAAAAAAGAGAGACCTGTTTTTATTCTTTCCTCACACCCCCAACCTACATAAACATATCTTATTGTTATTTCAAAATATTTTTTCCATGTATGGGTGAAAGGATTGATGACACTTAAAAAAAAAAGAAAAACTTACTGTATTTCTGTTTTTGTAGCTATAGCTATGACATCAAGAGTTCTATAGCACTTGCTGCTTTGCTCAGTGGGTCACAATATTGCTTATTCACATATATATGTTCATTAACGCATTTTATAAATCTTGTGAAATGACTACTAATTGTTTAATGTCTCTTAATATGTGTGTTTATATGTGTATACATATCAGTAGCTCTCTGAAAGTCTATTAAACTTAAGTATCTAGAGGATAGATGATTTCATATGTTGTTGGATTGATCCATAAACAACTCACATAATATTTTGTTCCAGCATTTTGTTTAAGATCAATGGTGAACATATATTTATTGTCAGACTGGGTTGATGAGTGAAAAAATAAATGAATCCTAAGATTTGGGCTTTGTCTACTTTAGAAATGGTTTTCCATTACATGCTCCAGCTTTTAAATTTATAAGGAGAGAGAGAGAGATTTTTTTTTTTTTAGTTGTCAGTGGACCTTTATTTTATTTATTTATATATGGTGCTGAGGATCCAACCCAGTGCCTCACACATGACCCTAGGCAAGCATTCTACCACTGAGCCACAACCCCAGCCTAGGAATGTGGTTTTAACTTCAGCAGAAATAAGCAAACATTTTTGTTGTTGTTGTTTTCTTTTGTGAGGATCACTCAAAAGCTTTGTTTGATAATCTTAAAAATTGAGGTAACTTGTATTTATAGTCATTTTGTTTTCTTTTTCAGGGTATTTTCACATCTTTGCTCTACCTTGTTTTTATAGTACCCTTAAGGGAGATACTATTCACATTTCTATTTGAGTAGAAAACAAAGGTACAGGAGAGGGTTAAATGATTTACCCAGGGTCTCATGGGAAATTCATGCAGAATATGAGTAAATAATGAATAAGTAATCTTTAAGCAGAGCTATGACTCCCATTTTATATCTTTGGTTTGGGAATCTAAATAATATTTGGTTTGGTCTTAAGAAAACTAACAATTTATCCCTTGCTTTTCTGAGTCCTATAGGCTCTTTGGCCACCCTTTCCCTTGTTGCCCTTTCTATAATTGACTGCTAGAACAAAATTGTACTTGTGGTTTTCGTGTCTATATCTCACTTATTTGTCTATGTCAGCCCACCCCTACTCCATGAGTAGTATATAGTAGGTACTTAAGAACTGCTGAATAAATGTGAGGTACATTTCTAGAGTGTTAGCGGTCTAATATGTAGTTTCACTACCCAGAGGTTGGTAGTGTTCTCAAGAGAAGATATAATATTATGAATTACCTGGTATTTTCTTCAATGCCCTCTACTATTGCATTAAAGTGTTGGAAACACAAAGGAGAAAAAGATAAACGAGTCTCTCCTCTGGAATCTGTAGAAAGATAAGGGTCACAAAACATAATAACAAAATTTATTCAGGCCAAACCATGTACAAATTGCTATTGTAATTGTTAGCTCTGTTGCGGGGATTAGTGAACTTGTGCTGGTTTATGGAGGAATTGGAGTTTGCAGAGGAATTGAAGCAGAGAAATTTACACGTAAAGTAACTCAGCTAGAATTGCAAAAGAATATGGCATTTGAGAAGTTCAGTGACCTGAGTAAAGAACTTGGGTAACATTGGGAGACGAAGCTGGTAAGTTTTGATTATAAGAACAAAAATATTTCATCTTCAGAAAGGAATGAGAACCCATGAGGGTATTTCAAGCAAGAGATAGCATAATTGGATTTGGGTTATAAAAAGGTAATTCTGGCAGCTTTGGGATGGATGGATTAGAAAAGTGAGGGACAGGAAGGTAGAGCAGCTAAGAATGCTTCTGAAATTGTCTAGGTAGAAGATGGAATCCTTTCTGAAGTAGTGCTAAGAGTTTTGTGGATGATTAATAGAAACTGCAGGCTGGAGACCCTGGATTTGATATCCAGTACACCCCCTTCCAAAAAAAAGGGCAATTGAAATGGTGAAGAGGTAGACATTGGGTAGATCCCAGGGATGCCCTGGTAGTTTCTAGCTAGGGTGACTAGTTTAGAGTGTGTGTGTTCCAGCAGACAGGGAGCCCAAGCAAAGGAAGAGGTTTGTTGGGGGTGGATATTGGTATTAATTTGGGGTACACCAAGCCTGGGGTTTTTATATGTATTTTATTTTTAGAAAATATAGATGGAAATGTAAAGCAAGGAACTGAAAATAATACAAACAGCTTAAAAGAAACACAGTAACTGAGTATATGGGTTATGGAGCTATGGACATCTAGGAAGTAGCTGAAGGCAAGAAAATAGTGGAGAAGGCCTGGACAGAATCCTGGGAAATGCTAAACTTTACAAGTAGAAAAAAGAAAAAGCCAATGGAAGAACCCTGAAAAGTCTTTGGAAACATATTCAAAGATATTATCATAACATACCTCTTTATTTTTCCTATTTAGCTACTTTAAATACTGCCTGATATTTTTTTTCTGGTATTCTTTACTAACCTGCCATCAGTTCAGTCAAAAAGTCAATATCATTTTGCTTTTGTTTCTTATTTTCCATTACCTTAGGATCATTCTTTTGGTCTTCCTTTGTCATCCTATGGAGAGTTTATAGAAGAAGCATGATGTCATGTTGAATTCATTATACTAAGAAAATAGGAATTCTTTGATGTTCCTAATAATGAAGAATTCATAGGACCTAAGGATTTAACATTCTAATATTGGAGTTCAGTATACTTGGGCATAAGATAACTCATATCAAAGCATATTTTGAAGTGTTAAATTTTGTATCAGAAAGCAATTGACATTGCCATTTTACAGTTTTACACTTTGAGGAAATTTATGTTAAAGAATCTCAGCTTCTGAAATGACAGTCTTATGGTTGTAATCTTAAACCTTCCTTAGTATTCATGGCCATATATAATTTATATATATTTGATAACTCTGCTGGCTGTGTCCAAAGCCAAATTGTTGCTGAAGAACTGAGGTTTTAACCTGAACATGAATTACAGAAGTTGGATTAAAACCTAACAAAATTATTATGATTCTCCAGTCCAACTCCCATCTCATCTGCCATCTCAGGTTCACTTCTGATGCAAACAGTATTATAAACTATAAAGAAGTAAATAAGTTACAACCAATATAAAAGAATATAATGGAATTCTGATTTTTTTTTTTTCATGCAGACTACTGTGATACACTCAGTTCTTTTCAGAAACATGTATCTGCTTTTCTGGTTTCTTATCCAGAAAGTTAGAAGGCCTTTTGGATCATCCAGTACTGATCTCTGCCTTCCAAGGAGCTTTGTGTCTCCGGAGGGTACTGTCATACACAACTTGAAGTAGAATGAAATAGAATTAGGGCAGGAACCAAAATGCTAAGCATTAACTAAATACAGAATGGCCAGGCTGAAGGTTCATAATAATGTGAACATCATTATTCTGAGATGATCCAATCTTAAAGTCCTGTCGCTGGGATATGACTTATTAGAATACCTGTATAGATCTGGGGGTAGGAGGTACAGATGGTGGGAACTTATCACCAAAGATACTTAGATATCAGCTAATTGTTTTATTTTCTATTCTGATAGTGTGTCAGAGAGGATTCAGTTGTCTGAGTCTTATACCTCATAACCAGAATTTGTTAGATTTATATTATTATTTGATTTCTATGACCTGTTTGGGTTTTTTCCTACATAGTTATGTGTGGGATTGCTAAGTACCAGCTCACAAGAACCAATTGTTAAAATTATCAGAAATTGTGTGAGCTGAATGTTTAATGCAACCATTCTTTAAAATTAACATAAATTTGCAAAATTTAATCAAGAATAGCAAAAGCAAAAAGTAATAAGTACTCAAATTATCACTCCTTAATAATTTTGTTACATTTTACTCTTCTTTTTTTTTTTTTTGAGGTTAGGTAACATACGGAAATAATGTATAATGATTTGCTACTACAGTAGCTTAAAATTGGCCATGATGGGAATATTAATACCACCAAAACTGGCCAATACTTTTAAGTCAGGGTTTGATTTGTTTTTATTATTTAGGCCTTAAAAATGATGAAAAAAATGTTAACAGTGCAGATTAAATTTAAAAGCATGTAGTGTCTGTATCTGTTACATTTCAGAGAGCACATAAATAAATATTTTTCTACTGTTTCAAAACTATTAACAATTCATTCAGCAAAAAGTCGCTCATATAACTGACAAGTAAAGTTTGACAACTGAAGTTCAATGTCTTTGTAGTATCACCTTCATCTTTGACTTTAACATATAAATAGTAATATCAACCAATATTTGTATTAGCACTAATCAAAAATCATCCATAGTTGGCTTTTGGAGTTTGGGAGTTCAGCAAAAATTTTTTAAAAAAAATTTTATGAGAATCTTTTTTTTTTTTTTTTGGTGGGGGTGGATACCAGAGATTGAACACAGGGACACTTAACCACTGAGCCACATCCTCAGCCCTTTTTATTTTTGTTTTTGTTTTTATTTTGAGACAGGGTCTCACTGAGTTGCTTAGGGCCTTGCTAAGTTGCTGAAACTGGCTTTGAACTAGTGATCGTCCTGTGTTAGCCTCCCAAGATGCTGGGATTACTGGTGTACACCACCATATCCAGTTTATGAGAATCTTGGGACTAATTTACAATAGAAACATTATGTATTTTATTATTCTTTATAAATTTTGTGCTTCTTTTCCTTTGGATCATGTTTATAATACACTATTTTTGTATGTGTAATTTCCCCCAAAGACTTGATTAAAATTTACCAGTACCTGTTCTGTCTTATTTTCTCCCTCCTTTCCCTTCCTCTCTCTCACTTTTCTCTTTTTTTCTTGGTGACTCATGTTGAGTAAGCCAAAAAACACCTGAATTTCATATTGTATCAGATATTATTTAAATAAGAATGCCTTCAGTAAAGGGTATGTTTTATAATTTTTATTTCATATTGCAAGTTTCATAGCAGATTACATTGTAATGTTATTTTGTGGATTAATAATAAAGTTTCTGTGGAATTCCTTTGAGATATGAAAATAGCCCATGAATTTCTGTCTATAGCATTGTTACACCAATAATTTTCAAACCAGTTAATAATTTCAGAATTTTTATTAGCAAGGATACATTTTTACTTAAGTCATTCAAAAGGAACTTGGTTAGAGAATTGACAGTGATTTATTGTGCCAGGTGCTACTTATGTTATTTCTAATATAAAAAACCCCCAGGAAGGTTTTTTATCCCCACTTTACAGGTGGGAAAACGAGGTTCAGCATTTTTTCATTGCTGCACATCACAGAACTCCCAGAAGTGGTTACCTCTTTCAGGTTGGTCCCCAGAGCCTCTGCTCTTTTCCATTACCATAATGTTCTAAAGCTGGTTTTTAATAGCATGTTAGAAAAATTAGATCTTATAGTGAAAGCTTTTTAATTTTATGGCTGTTTATTCCAAGAACTTTTTATCACAAGAAAAAATTGCATTTTCACAAAAAAATTTTGATACAATTGGCTTATGTAAATGTTTTATATTCATTTAATTTAAATTTCTGTTCTATAGCCTTGGTGGAGGACCAGATGATGCAAAAGAAATCATGAGACACAGCTTCTTTTCTGGAGTAAACTGGCAAGATGTGTATGATAAAAAGGTAGGATATCTTCCTGGCATAGTGTATTTATACTTTGACTACTCTACTAAAATGAATTTTATAGCATAAAAACTTAAGCAAATAAAATCCAATGATGTAATGGTATTTTCCCTTTTACTCTAACATTTAAGTGATTATTGAACTTCTTAGTATGTTTTATTTATAATTTGGACTCCCCAAATGTCTCTCAAAATTTTATTCAACATTGTCAAAAAGTTATTTTTCTCTTTTTGACCCTATAATAATTTGTTAGTTTTTTTCTCTAAGAAAAAAAACATACCCAATGTTATGTTTTTCTGTAAGAAAATGAAGGGCAAATTATAACTTTAAAATTTACTGTTATATTTTTAATTTTAAAGCAAATACTTCCAATTCATTTATATAAATCTTTTCTTCAAAATTTAATGTTTAACAAAGTAGGCCGGGCATGGTGGTGCATGCCTGTAATCCCAGCATATTACGGAGGCTGATGTAGGAGGTTCTCAAGTTCAAGGTCAGCCTCAGCAACTTAGGAGGACCCTAAACAATTTAGTTAGAACCTGTCTCAAAATAATAAATAAAAATAAAAGGGCTGGGGATGTGGCTCAGTAGTTGACCATCCCTGGTTAAATCCCCAAGTACTCTCCCCCGCCAATAAAATTTACAAGTAATAATTATTATCTTATTTGGAACTATTTCTATTGTTTGAAACAATTTTATTGCCCACAATTATGTATCTTTATTATTATTGTAATCTTCTTATTGCATTTTTTTTTAATGTTGCAACTTTTACTGTATTTCAGGAATAGAAAAATCATTGTATCTGTTCTATTTTTTTATTTTTTACTACTTCATCAACTGTTACTATAGACATTGATTTTGATATTTGTTTTTAAATGCTTTTATAAAATTTTTATATGGAATTTTTATGTAATTCATTAATTTATGTTGAATTTTTATCTATTTTGTTAGTCAATCTACCCATTTCAGTTTATTCCAGCTTTCCGTATTTTCCTCTGAAACATTTACCAATCAACATTTATGTAGGTTTGATTTATGCAGAGCATTCTTCTCTGTTAACCCCTGAAATAAAGATGGAATGAGAAATGAACTATGAGGAAATAATACAATATTTCAAATCTGGAATTCATGTTGTTGGTAAGAGGGAGTGTGGTGATTTTTCTACCCGTTTTTTTGTAACTATAAATTTAAATAATTGCACCATGTTAAACTCCTTCTGCTCAAAACTTCAACTCAACCAAACTCACGTATTTTGAGTTTGTCATGTATAAAGCACTGTGTCAAATATTGGTTCCTTCACACATTCCTAAATGTCCTAAATGTTTATGACTCTCATATGGATAATTTATGTCTACTTTAGATCACTGATGATGAGCCTATGAGTTACATGCATATGTAGGAAGACTTCTATGAGCTATATACTGTTTTTATCAGCACACTACAAAAGAACCTGGAAAGATCAAGATCTTACTGTGTCTCCCAGAAATAATGCATAGTCAGAAGTTTTCTTTGGCACACAAAATGACTATAAGATACAACTAAATATCATTCATTCAGTATACCCTGTCCAAGGAGGACTCATTAAAAAAAGAAAGAAAACAATTTTTTTAAGAGACAGTGATTATAGCACCAGTGTGGCATTGCTAAATTAAAGAAGGGACAAAATGTGAACCTATTGAGGACACTAAGTTATGCTGCAATGATTTCCTTATCAGTGTTCAGCTCTTCATGTTAAATGCAATTTAGCCTCAACTGGAGAATGCTTTGAGAACCAGATAGGGCAAGAAGCAAGGCTTGCCTTATCTGTGCCCCCTGGGATAGGCTATGCCCAGAGTGAAAGTGATATTAAGATTAGGATAACCAGGCTTTGGGAATAGAATTAGAGGCACCAACAAGATGGTCAGGGCAAAGGAGATTTCAAAACAAGTTTAGACGATATATAGAGAGAAATTAAATTGTTTTAATTGTTAAAGATACATGACACTTAATTTGAGCAAAATTAAAGTATCTTGCACAAAAAAATACAACCGCAAAAAGAGCAGAGTTTTCATGAACAGATTAGTTACCTTCTAACAGGCTTACTCATGTGCTTGTTCAATGAGGCAATTTAAGTTTACTCAAATACTCTAGAACTGCAAAATTATACCATCACCCTCATATTTAATTAAAGGAACCAATCTAACACTATTAGCTATTTCATTAATTCACTTAAAATTTTAGTGCTTGGGGGCATTATAAATAAAGAAATTATTTATAAATTTGAATATTTTGATGGGACCCTTATATCTTTGAAATGTATAACTTATTTATAAGTGGTCAATTCATCTCCAAGATGAGTGGTATGTTTACTAATTTTTATTAATAAGCTTTGAGAGATTCATTATTTTTACATAGCTCTATTATTACATGATTTACTGGCTATTTTTTGAAATATTACAGCAAATCTAGAGATGAAGAAACCTACAATTCCTGGTATCTTTAAGGGAAAACTAAATCTCTGAGCAAAGAAGGAAGTCAATTAACCTTAATTATAATTGATGGTCTATAATTTGAAAGAGTGTAGTACTCAAGTCAGAAGAGCTGGTCCCAATCCTAGGTTTGCTTCTCATTTCCTTTGTGGAAATAGACAAGTTCATCGTATAGAGTAACACAGAAGATGCAGATTACTTCAGTACCTTAAAAGCTTTATAAGATTCTCTGGTGGTGTATTTTCTACTATGAATATGTCTAGATAAATTTCTAAATTAACTTCTAGTTAAATTTAGTGTTCAGTTTGTCGATCTACTAGGATTTTATGTGAGATGGTGTTGAATTTCACATATTGGGGAGAAATGTCATTTTAACAGTGATTTTCGGATCCAGGAACCCAGTGTATCACTCCATTTATTACATGATCATTAATTTCTTTCAGTAATATTTTATAATTTTATGCTTAGATACATTTTTGGTAAGATATATATTCTTAAGTATTTAATGTCTTCTGATGGAAGCAGAATTTTAAAATTTCATTTCACTTTGTTTGCTACCAATATATAGAAAATAAAATTGATTTTTTTATGTTGACTTTGTATTCTGTAAGCTTGTAAAAGTTGCTTTTGAGAGCTGTGTTTATCTTGGAATAATGGCTCTTACTTACATCATCATTGTAATATAAATTATTATAGTATAAATAATAATATTATTGTAATATTTCTGTTTACTAATTTTATTACTGACTTCAACATTTTATGTTATTTCTTAATATTTATTTAAAATTCATGTCAAATTTGTTAGCTCTGGGTTCAACCTCCAGCACTGCATTAAAAAAAAAAATCATCTCAAAAACATTCTGACAAAACCAGAAGATACAGTCCTTCTTGAATAGAGTATTAAATAAATAAGTTATAATTGAGCTCTTTATTCATGAAAAAATAGTATCAAAACTTGCAGAGAATCAATTTTGAATGGTCTTTGTTGTTGAACTTTGAAAAAGCCTTTTTTCAAGACTTAAATATGTTTAATTAGTTTTTCAAAGAGTCTTAATCTAATGGAGGCATCATTATTCTTATTTATTTTTCATTTCCCCAGTGATTTGTCCTGATTTAATAGGGGCCAAAGCCAACCAACATGTTGCCAAATTCCAGGAATTGCCATACCATTACCTAAAATTGGGTAATGCAATGGTACAGATGGAAGCTTTCATTTATTATTTGGTCACTTCTTTAATTTTAGAAAAGTGGGGGTATATGCATGTGTAAGGGGAACTGGGGTGTGTGTGTTAGATTTGGAATTAAAAAAAGATTGTAAAAGTTTCCTCCTTTTCTATTTTTTGGAATAACTTGAGGAATATTGATGTAAGTTCTTTGAAGGTCTTATAGAACTTGGTTGAGAATCCATCTATTCCTGAGCTTTTCTTTGTTGGTAGGCTTTTGATGGCATATTCAATTTCATTGCTTGAAATTGATCTGTTTAAATTTTGTATGTCCTCCTGATTGAATTTTGACACGTTATATGTCTCCAAAAATTTGTTGATGTCTTCATGATTTTCTATCTTATTGGAGTATAAATTTTCAAAGTAGTTTCTGACTATCATCTGCATTTAAATGGTGTCCGTGATGATATTTCCTTTTTCATTATGAATTATAGTAATTTGAGATTCTTTCTCTTTTTCTTCATTAGCCTGGCTAAGGGTTTATTTATTCTTTATCTATTTATTCTAAGGTCAGTTTTATTTATTCTTTTTTAAAGAAATATCCTTTTTTTAATTGTTAAAGATTGTATACTCCTATATTATATGTCTTAAGTCCTTAAAAGAAAAGATGAATTAAAATTTGTCTCCCTCCCTCTCCACACTAGTAAAACACTGAGTTAACTTTTAAAAAGTTGAATTTAAATATTACTGTTTTTGAAGTGGAAGTTTTTTTTTTTCTTGAAGAAGAGTTGGTACAAATTATAAATAAGTAATTCAAATGGAGCTTACTTAAAATAATCACTTCTTGGTTATAGTAGCTTTTGTTGAAGATCATTTATGATTCTCTACATACATAATCAGATCATTTGTAAATAATTACAGTTTTTACTTCATTTCTAATCTGGATGCATTTTATCTTCTTTTGCCTTATTGTATTGATTAGAACTTCCTCTACAGTACTGAATAGAAATCATGTGTCAAACAAAGTCCTGACTTTGTTTCTGATCTTAGGGAGAACATCTTTTATGGTTAAATATAATGTTTATGAGCACATCTAGCAGCCAGATAGCCAGAGGTCGATTTCTTTTCTTTCTTTCCTTTTTTTTTTTTTTTTTGTGTGTGTGTGTGGTGTGCTGTGGATAGAACCCAGGGCCTTTTGCATTGTGAGGCAAGCACTCAACCAACTGAGCTATATTCCCAGCTCCAGATATAGATTTCTAAATATCAGTTGCCAATGAAATAAAGTTTCCTTGGAGAAGTAGTAGTTGATTCTAGGGCTGGTAAGGGGAAAATGAAAAAAAAAGCCTGGAGTATTTTGAGGGGGAATATC